GGGGGGGGGGGAGGGGGGTAGTCCTGGCTGGGCTGACCCAATCCGGTTTCCTTAGTCCGGTTCCAAAAATTAGTCCGACGGAAGTGTAGCGGCCCAATCGAACGTCTCGGGGGAACACCGCCCGTGTACCGTCTCGAACTGTACATCAGTACAAGAGAAACATCCTACCGAACTCCAGCCCGTGAGGCTCGGACACCACTTTGCTTGCACCCCTGGGTCCTGCCCGGGGCCGAGACGAGAGGAGCACCCATCAGTTCAGGAGAGCGCTCGCAGGGAGCGGCCGCCTCTAGAGGAAGAGCGATTCGGCACCGAACCCGCGGCTCCAACAGGAAATAAGAAATGGCCAAAAGGAAAAGGGGAGGATTACAGGATTACGGGCGCTGCTGAGCGGCTTTTGTTTCAGCCCGACGGACCCCGACCATTCGCCGCACACGCGCCCGAAATTTGCGATTGTAATGGTCTTCTGGGCGAGAAGAAAGGCGAGAGAGTGAGAGAGCGGAGGGTAATTAGCAAGTTCTACGGGGAGCGAGAGAGAGCGAGCCAGCGAGATTCGCACCAGCCGTATAATCTCAGTGTTATATCCATATCAAAGAGGCCCGGCGTCCCCGTCCCGTCGTGGCAGGTCCCGCACCGCCGGGCTGGGACGCGCGCCTTGGAGGTAGGCAACCTCGACGCCCCGGTGACGGCAGACAGACCGGTGGCCTACATCGACAGATAGCCGGGAATCTTAACGGGCGTCAGTTACTGTCAATGATATTAGAGCATCAGAGGCTCTTCACTCTGATAGGAACCAGTCCGCGACACGTAACATGCAGAACGCCAGAAGCAGGAGAGAAAATCATGAATCTTAATATTCGGGATTCCACGCGCAGCAAACACAAAAAAAAATCTCCTGCTAGGTCGTTTGTAACGTTATATATATAGCCGGCTCCGAATGCTGCATATGAGCAGCGAGCCGCGGCGGATGGAGGGATGCACAGGCCGGGAGGAAGACTGATAGACTCGCCGGCTCCCTGAGTGACAGTTCGTTAGGGCAGCCGGGCCTGCATGGGATGCGCCGCGCAGGTTGTGCAAGCTGCACCCATGCAGCCGCTGCAGCGGGACGGAAGTGCAGCGGCGGCGGGGCGCGCACTGTGTCGTCGAGCCGAGAAGCGAGCATTGAAGACTGGCGGCAGCCGCGTTCGTATTCAATGAACCAAAGTCGGGCATGAATGGCATGGTACGGTGATGACCCTGGGCTGGGGTCATTAAACCCCGGTCATGCGACTAGGAATCGGTTCAAAAGCTCTGAACGGTGGAATCACGTCTGGTATGCTATGGCGTGTCCAGGAGAGGCTGGCATCTTACCGTGGGGCGAGGCGAGGAGAGGCCCCCCTGTGGACCTGCAGCAGTACTGACCTGCAACGGGAAAGGAAAGCAGGGCCCATTAGGACTTGTGTGCGAGAGAGAGAGAGAGAGAGGGACGGCAGCGCATCGCACAGCCACGCTGACGCAACCCCGCGCCGGCACCGCCGAGCCACGGCACTTGACACGCGGAGCAGGAGGGTTCCAATCGATCAGTGCGGATCGATACATCGGTAACAATGAGACAACACCGCCGGCGCGCATGAAGGGGCAGGGACAAATCAGACCGCCTGGTCGGAGGCGGTCGCGTCGGCCTGGCCTCGTCGTCAGGAGGCGTGGAGAGCCCTCGTCGGGTGCTCGACAGAAGAGGCGCGAAGGGGAGTGACGTGGCGAGGAGCGCGGCGGAGAAGAAGGCTGCGGCCGTCCCGGTCGGGTCCCGGTCCTCGCGAGGAATCCAATAGAACACCATGCAGGTCGCTCCCGCTCCAAGCCCTGCCGCCCTGCCTCTCGGCGGCGCCCCGCTGCCCTGCTTGGCGCTAGCGCCGTCCTACAAGGCGATGGGCTCACTCGCCAGATGCAACCTAAAGCGGTCCCCCATTATGCCAAAACGGAGCGCGCAAAGTCGTTGGCGGGAGAGCGGGGGGGGAGGGATAGAGGGAGAAGGAGTGTCGGCCGAGCACCGGAGCACCGCGACGGCTGCCTCTGGCGCGCAGCGAACGGTCGGTGAGCGAGTGGCGAACGACCTCTGCTGCTGCTGCTGCTCGGTTTTCTATACAAACCGACAAGCAGGGCTCGCGGCTCCGCGCCACCCAGGCGCCCGCCCCGCCCGCCCGAGTGGAGTGCAAAGTAACGCGAGTGTTGATTGTAGCACGAAAACGATACCTGCGGCAACGAGCCCCGCCAGGCCAGGGCGCCACGCGACCGCAGAGAGAGATAGAGACAGGGCGTTACATCACGACGTAGTAAAAAGGAGCAGCCGAGCAGCGGGGCTCGGCGGGGCTTTAGGGGCGATCCTCGCATCACGACGACGACGACGATCACCGCCTGTCACTGTGTGCCGGCTAAAGGGACACTTCTGCAGCTTTTGTGGTCATTTCCAGCCGCAGTAGTCACTACTTTTGCCCAGCTCGCTCTCCCCCGCGCTACTGATGTTGGCACCGCTGCGCCGACACACCGGCCAAGTCGGCCCGCCCACCGCCCACTGAACCCGACCCGGGAGGCCCGCCAGGAACATGTGTACCCCGGACTACCGGCCCCATAGTGCCGCTACCGCCGCTACGATAAGCACTCGCCGCTCCTGAATCTGTAATGAGTGGGCCAAGCCAGGTTTGTGCGCGAAAACCGGTCAGTTAGCACGAGAGAAAAACACATATGGGCGACTTCACGTGAAGTCCCGGAAAAAGGTCTACTTTTCTGAGAGGGAATAGATGTAAAATAGACCCCATGGTTGCGAAATGGGCGGGGCCAGGTTAATTTTTTAAAGGGTAGAAATGGGAAAGGGGCAGAGAGCCAAAGCCAGGGGCGAGCGCACTGCGTGTTGCGTAAGGTTGCAAATACCGAACGCGACCGACTGGTCGATTGTTTCTCACGCTCGGGCAATTGGCCGCGCGCGAATGGTATCGCCTCCTCAGCCAGACCGGGCCCGGCCTGCGGGCACTGATTGGCACCTCCGAGTCCGACCCACGAGGAACCGGGGCGAGCGAGGCGGGGTGGGGGAGGTGGGGCGCAGTGGTTGTTTAGCGACATAACGATCTGCTATTCAATACGGCCCGCCCAGCCGGAGCCGTGGCCGAGCCAGCAGCTTCCTCTCACTTCCAGCTTCCAGTTGGGCACACCTCGGTGGCGCAAGGCGGGGCGGGGCGGGGCAGGCGTTCCCACGACGATCGACCTTCTCTTCCTCTCCTCTCTCTTTCTCTCTCTCGGACATCGCGCCCACTCTTCCTTTCTTTGTGAGCCTTTCCGCCTCGAGAGATAAAAGAAAGAGAGCGAGAGGGCAGATTGTGAGATTCCTCTGCGGCCGCCCCCTCGTCCTCATGCTCCATCTGCTTCGCTCTGCTCGCAGGCCATGGCGTCGCTGGTCGTGCTGGTGGCGGCGTTCGGCGCCGCGGCGGCCGCATCCGACGGCTGGACCCCCATCATCCCGGAGGGCGCCGCGCCCGGCCCCGGGCGGCTCTCACTGGACCTGCACAGGCCCGGCCACGGGCTGGCCGTGGAGCCTGGCCTGCCGGGCTCGCTGGCGTCCAGCCTGTCCAGCCTGTCGTCCAGCCTGGGCGGCAGCAGCTACCACAGCCACGTGGACCACGTCGGCAGCGGCCGGCCGCACGCCCAGGTGCACTACCGCCCGTCGCCGCCGCGCCACCACGGCCCGCCGCCCTCGCTGCCGTCCGCCCTGCCGGACTTCGCGCACAACGACCACGGCGACACCTGCGCCCTCTACAAGGCGTCCATGACGCAGGACCTCTACTTCCAGGTAGGCGGGAACCTCAAACACGGTGCTTTTGCAGCTCTCGAGGCGATCGGCTGTCGACTGATCCTACCCTCTCTGCCCACAGTACATCCAGTACAAGGTGCACATGCCCGACCTCAAGGAGTTCACGCTGTGCATGTGGCACAAGTTCAACAACCACTCGAGTGACCACCCTCTCTTCTCTTACGCAAGTGAGTACTACAAGGCATGCCCTCGCGCTGACACTGGCGCTTTTAAACTATCGCGCCCTTGATGTCCCCCCGCAGTCCGCGACCAACCGCGCGCCATCCTGTCCTGGATCACGGCCACGGACCGGTCCACGTACTTCTCCATGTCGGTGGACGGCCACAAGCTGTTCCGGCTCAACTACCCGCTGCGGCTCAACCGCTGGTACCACTCGTGCCAGTCGTGGAACGGGCGCACGGGCGAGTGGCAGGTGTGGGTCAACGCGGAGCGGGTGGGCCGCGGCTTCCACAACCTGGTGAGTGTCGCCGACAACCAGCGCCTGATGGGCTAAGCGATCAATACTAAACTCCATCGTGTGTTTTTGCGCTGCAGCTCGTCAACCACGTCATCAAGGGCGGCGGCGTGGCCATCACGGGCCAGGAGCAGCGCCAGTTCGGCGGCGGCTTCCTCGAGGGCGAGGGCGCGCCCAAGGGCGCGGGCGGCATGCTGGGCGAGATCACGCAGCTGCAGCTGTACAGCGTGGCGCTGACGGCCGGCAAGGCGTACCGCGACCACAAGCACCACCACGGCAACTACAACGCGCCGGCCGACCAGCCCCGCGCCACCACCACCACCACCCCCGCGCCCATGCCAGGTGAGCCGCATCCGGGAGGCCCAACTTCACGTTGGAGCAACACCCCACCGCACAGTAATGCGCCGGGGCGGCGAGCAGAGACGCGGCTGGGGGTTGCTTTGAGCAGGCAGCGGGCGGGCAGTGCGGGGAGGGGGGCAGCTGCGCGACAGGGGAGAGTCCGACGGGGGGAGCAGCGGGGAGAGAGAGGGCAGCGAACAGAAGACGTGAGCGGAATTAATTTGTATTATTTTACCGGGGCGCACTTGATGTAGTAGCCGAGCCCCTCCTCGCCCGGCGCGGTTTCTCTCTCTCCTCCCAGCGCGACGCGGGCTGAAAAATTTACGACGCGCTGCGCGATCTTCCTCTGGCAGCGGCGCCTCCTTCGGAGCAGATCGCCCACGGGGCACGGCGGTGATGAATACAGGGGGAGAAGGGAGAAGGGAAAGGGGGCGGAGGAGGGGAGGGAGTGTCCGCAGCCCGCACAGCCCCAGGCCAGGGTAGGAGATGAGGCGAACGCGCGTCGCGAGCATGACTCAATTATGTCCGGAGCTTGCTGGACCAGATGCGCGGCTGCGGCTGCGGCAGTCCGCCCGGCCGAGGCAAGTGAGAGGGAGGGGAGTGAAGGATGGAGTGGGGGGGGGG